CCCCCCCCCCCCTTCCCCAATTTGTGCAGATCACCGGACATTGTCCGGGGCTGGCGTGGGTAAATATTGTTTTCCCGCGAGTAATACAAATTAATACAAAATTTGCAAATTTCGTAGGGCTATATTTTTCTCATTTCACAACATTTCGCGGCCAAACTTTACAATTTTACTAATTTTAACATGCTTTTTCTAGCTGTGCTGATGGATTTTGTTTTTCTTGCCGAAATCAAAATTTAGTCTATATTTTACCTGTTAAAGTTTACCTGCTAAAGTTTATTTTACCTGTAGTCTTGGGTTCCTATTTTTTGTTTTATTTTTCCAGCACGAAGTCTAAAAAGTTTTCAGTGAAAGTAAATTGTCCAATGGGAGAACAGTTACAAGCAAGACCAATAACGGAACAAGATTTTCTAAATTTACAAAGTAGGTTGAGTACACTGGTATGGAAATAAAACCGATATGCACCGTGTATTATTTATTGAGCGTCATTCTATAACGAAACTTTTTGTTCCTTTTCGCAGAAAAGCTTTCGGGCATGAATGAAAGTTCGTTAACGGCTGATATCCCGGCTGAAAATTGCGACGAAAGAATACTAGTCTCAAAGATCCTAGGATGTGCGAGTGTCGCGGTGCTACCAAGAAATACCTCTTCAAATTATTACAGATTTTCTGGGTCGGCAATCTCATCTGGCGTCCCTGTTCTCATAACCGTCGACCTCAAACAGGATGGGAAAGGTAGCAAGGTAACTGTGAACTGTGAAAAGATGACTATTCATTCTATATTATCCAAGGAGTTGGTGGCGGCTGTGAAAAAAGTCAGTTAACTGTTTGCTGGACAAACAGAAAAGGAATGGGTTTTGGGATAGAATGTTTCTAAATCACGTGCGCGGTGAATGCTGATCACGTGCGTGCGGTTTGATGATCACGTGGGTGGTTTTACTGGTCACGTGGACGATGTATGCTTATCATGGGTGATGTACGCTGATCACGTGAGTGACATAATTTGATATTTATTTGTAAAAGTTGTCATTCAAAGGTTTGGTGTAGAGATTTTTATCACGTTCACAGTATGTGCTGTTCACGTGGGGCGTATTGACATGAACGCAAGGGATGGGTATCACGTGGAATTATGGGATATCGTTCAAGATAGTTTGGAATCCATAGTCGTGTATTCGCATCCATCACGTGGTTGGTGTATGTTAGTCACGTGCTTGATAGATAACAAACAATAATAAAACAAGTCATCTCGTTTGACGTCGTTCAAAGGAATTGGGATGGAAATTTGTGGTCGCGTGCAAAGTCAATTTGGATGCGCAATCTACCCTTGTTTGTAATTTCATGTTCTGTATACATTAGTATGCGAAAAAGGAACAAATAACATTGATTGAAAGCTGACCCTAAAACAACTCTGAATCCTAACACTTAGACTTCAGTAACAGTTCGTGTTTAGGGTTGGTTTTACATCTCACAGGACATGAAATTATAATCTTAAAATCGATAAATAACGTTCAGGGGGAAAAAAGCTACTACTTATGAAGCTACTACTTATATTTTTAGTTACAAAATATTTTATCGTTCGATGTTTCTCGACATCCAAAAACATATATAGATCAGTGGGTCAACTGTGATTTGCATATCGTGCAAACACCATGATTTGAAATGCTTAAATTGTATATATAAAAAGAATGCAGTAACAAAGATAGTAAAAATTAATTTTTCAATAAAACTAGAAAGTTCACATGCTGTATGGTATATATATAAACGCGAATATAAAGTAGACCAGCAGTTCTCCATCCCATCCAGTCAAGATTCAGTGATCTGAATGTTCCATTGTCTTTTCATTGTTGTGGAAATCCCACTGTTCTTCATGTCATCCAGTCATGATTCAGAGATCAGAATGTCCCATTGTCTTTTCACTGTTTTGAAAATCCTATACTGTTTTCCATGCCATCCGGTCATGGTCCAGTGATCTGAATGTTCCATTGTCTTTGCACTGTTTTGAAAATCTCGCTGTTCTCCATGCCATCCAGTCATGATCCAGTGATTTGAATGTTCCATTGTCTTTTCATTGTTTTGAAAATTCCACTGTTCTCCATGCCATCTGGTCACCATCATTTTGACATATTTGTGACGTTGGTTTGTGTACAACAGTATAAAACAAGACGGATAAAGGGTGCGGCATTTCAGACTTATTTTGCAAAGCTTGGAATATGGCCGAGAAAAATGAAAATCCTAAAACCACACAGCCAGGAGAGATAGTAAACCATGACTCGAAAATTGACCAAGGTGAGACGGTCAATCTCAGTACAAAACTAAGCAATATAGCGGTGGTGAATTCCTCGATACAAACCGTCTCGAAGACATGTCATACCATCAAAGAATCGAATTCTTACGTTGGCTATGGAATGACCGTCGCTGAATCATCGCTAGACAAGGCATTCAAGGCGGGAAAAGCTGTGCTTGACTCGAGAACTTTGGCTCCTATTACCAACACTGCTATGGAAAACAGTAAGTTAAAAACCTTTTGTAAAATATTCTTGTGTGTAGCGTTTGAACCAGAATCGGAGACCTTGCTCCTTAGAACTTGCTCTATTCTAGTTGATTAATGGCTTAACGATCAAATACTGTCCATTATAACATAGACAATCGAGAAGACATGTCTTCTGGATTGTCTATGATTATAAGTAGCAACACTATTTCATGAACAGCCCATACGGCTTTATATGAATATTGAGCCGCATTCGTTTTGTTTTGCGTGTTTTCCAATGGCGATGTAGCATTAACCGCTGGTTTGATTTGGAAAAGTCAAACAAGAAAGCACTCTTTGCATGCGACTAAGACGATGTTTACACTATACCGAATAGATTTCCACAGCGCCGCGAGAAAGCACCCGGCCCTGCTATCTGGTACAGGTGTAAACGTAACCTAAAATTGAAGTAAGACGTTTTCTAAACTCTGAAAACTGTCATATATTTAGTTCGATATCTGGACAAAGAAGCCGGGGTGATGGTTGATAAATTCTTAAAATCAAATGACAAACAGAGTGAAGAAAGACAGGCAAACGGAGGAGTGCAAGATATCACTGAGTATACAACTACTGAGTCAAATAGCCTCGTTGTCAATAACGAATCCATGATTTACTTTTTGGGAAGAAAATTTGTCGAGGTAAAATATTTTGTAGGTTTATGATTTTGGTTATGCTATTGGTTCCATTTGTGCCTGGGGAGTTTTGCATGGGCAGAACTACCAGAGTAATGAAATATCATTTGGTCAATATTCTGTATTTTATGATCATTTCAGGTGACTTCTTTCCTGATATTATTGCCATATTTTGGTCCCAAGTTCGCCCTGTCCACCATTTTGGGATTGGTAAGTAATTATGGTTACATATTGAGTAGTTGTGTATCTTGTAGTCGTGTCAGATTCCTATTCTGGCGTACGTAATCGAATAAGCTCGTGTAAAAGTGGTCGCATTTCAGATTTCGCCATAAACGAAATGAAGAGGCATCAGTTCTAATTTTCATTTTCGTACGCCACAATACGATCCGTACACGTCAGATCGCATCGTGTAAACGTGTCTTCAATTCCTTCGCTGCCCACCGCCCCCTTGCCCCCGCCCCGTTGACCTTGACCCCGCCCTTCGCCCCCTTCTATGAGAAGTGAGGACCGTCCTTGCTTTCCTAGTTCCATGGCAGTTCAAACGAGGTAGGCCGTAAGCGAAAGGAACGCGGCTCGCTGTCAGAAGAAGTGAAGTATATGGAACCATCGCCCGTCAAGAGAAAATATGGCGACAGACTGAGCACGTCCTCTGAAGAAGGGACGTTGGTGGAAATACTTCATGATTATATTAGTGAAGATGATCCCGATTATGAGCCGAAGGAGCACGAGTCTGAGGAAAGCAGTGAGGAGTCTGGGAACGAGGAAAACCGAGAGGAGAAAGTGAAGGAGTGTTTGGACTTGACACAAGATTTAGAAGAGGTATTTAAGGCTTTAAGGTGCTTATATTAGCATGATAAAATTACTAGATGCTGATTGACTGAGAGGAGTACAATTATTTCATTAATTACTGCAGTACAATTATGATTTTCCCAAAGTAAACAAAATGGCGGAAAGGTATTTAAACACAAATTAAATTGCCCTAGAGGAACTTAATTAAAGCAAAAGAACTAAGTGAGAATACGAACAAAAGCACCAAATGTTGGTTGAAAGTCTGGCAGGACTGGGCTTTGGCGAGAGAATATGATGTTGACACTGAGAATTATCCATTAAGTAGAATTGAGGGGATTAAGCCCTCCCTCCCTTAAAAAAATGTGTGAGAATTTAATATGAAGTTTAAATTTTTAGATGGGCGTTCCACTCAGTCCTGAAATGCAGCGAAATGTGGAAAAGTTAAAAAATGAAGCGAATGAGGTACTTTTAAACTATCATTATTTCTTTACTGTCGTTCCAATTGAAGTGTTCCTCAAATATTGATTCAATACATTACCTCAGGCTGACCAATTCATTTCATCAAGTTCCTCGAGATATTCATACACTTCCTGTGAAAGAGCCAATTCCAAGAATTTTATCATTTCTGGTCACTTCCTTTCTATTTATGATTGGTTAGTTGCACAGACAACAAAGGTGATTGGTGCATTCAAACTATTCAACAGGAAGTTTACAATTATACTAGGAAGTGTATGAATATTTCGAGGAACTTGATGAAATGAATTGGTCAGCCTGAGGTAATGTATTGAATCAATATTTGAGGAACACTTCAATTGGAACGACAGTAATATTGATTGATGTTGAAATGCATGTACCGGCATTAAATACTGACAGACATAACTTTTGTTTTTCAAAGGCCGAGACGAGTAAATGCCAGTCTACTCCTAAGAAAACAGAAGTAATGGAAATGATCGAAAGGACCACTCGAGGAAAAACCGAAAATAAAACCACGGATACGCATGCTACCGAAGAAAAGTTACAAGAAATCTCTCTTAAAGAGTCTGCAAACGAAGGCAAAGGTAAAACGGAAGCCTTGAAGGACGTGAAAGAAAGCAAGGGAAGCAAGATTGACCCTTCTTTAAAAACTCGACGAAGCTCAAAATCGCCATTGTTAGAGAAACTGCTTTCGCCAGGAAGGCGAAGTCGAAAAAGCCAAAAAGAAAAAACAAAAACGGGGAAGGATAGTTCGGAGACCGCCGGCCTTACCGAAGATGTCGCCGAAGTAAGCACGAGTAAATCCGAAGGTAACACGAAAGCGGAGACGAAAATTCACGCCGAAAAGTTGACCGATAGTTCAAAAATTCCCAAAGTCGAAGCGAAGGTTGACGAAACGACAAAGTCGAAGGGGAAATCAGAGGAGGGGCAAAAGAAGTCGGAAAAGGCTGAGAGTTCGAAGGGGGAAGCGAAGACCGGCGACGGCCATCACCATGGAAACGAGGCATTGTCAAACGTCACTGGTCCATTTGATATTTTCAAATTTGGCGGGAAAAAGTCCAAATAAACATTTTGGGATTAATTTCAACTGGAACAAAACATTTGATTTATGATGTGAATTTAAAACAGTAAATTTGGAACCCAGGCTAAATATTTCTATTTGAATTGATGTAGTGACAAATTGATGATAGAAAAATATGAAATTACGTACAGTCGAAACTATACTAATTGTTGTGTTACTGCAATTTGGTGAAGTGACTCAAATACGGTTAGAGCTACTAGAAGTAGTGTTTAAATTAGAATGAATAAAAAACTTAAATTAAAAAAGAAAAATTGATCGGAGAAAATGAAGTCTACAATATACTGATACTCTAACTGATTATAAAATTTGACAAAACAAAAAACCGTAGCTAAAATATTCTCATTGTCTATTGACATTGACTGTCAGCAAAATGTAAACAAGGGAAGGGATTCCAATGTATTCTTGATTTGCAAACAGTGCCTTGAGAATTGAAAAACAAAATGGCGGCCATGTCGATGCCCAAATTCAATGACAGATAATGTCCTATAATGAGATTCTTCTGTTGAAATACTCCAAGCGCAAGTAGTTGCAAGAATTTAGATTATTACAGGCAACTGCCGTGAATTAAATAAGAAATAATCACAAAAAAAGCATTACAAAGAGTTTCGATGTTTGATATCGCTATATTTCATCTATAAAATTTAAAAGATTACGTTTGAGCTTAACAACGAGTTGTTTTACATATCCACAGCTATAGTGTCTCGCAATGACGCCTGTCGGATGCTCCCCTCATTCATGTGTGTGCCCTTGTCCTACGAACAAAGAAAGAAATACAATTTAATTTTTAGATGTTCATTTTTCTTTAAGTATTTAAACTACGAACATTGGACTGCAAGTCTGGTGGATTAAATAAAACATTGTTCAGTTTTGACGTTATTTTATCCAAAAAGCCAAACAATTAGCATTTGGCTTTGTAGACAAATATTGCAGGAAAAAATAAGACTAAACCATTTTAAGCCAAACACAAAGAAAATCTCGTATGACCGTGAAAGTTTGTATATCTGGTACATTACTCGTGCCTTTACAACTACTGAAGAATACGAACATCTTCATATCGAGGCACATCACAAATTATATGCACCTATCCGTCTATAACCATAGATATCTTATATACACTGCATACACTAGATAGCGCATCTCTTTTAGTCGAATTGAAGCCAAGAATATTCCAGCGGTTACCCCCATTTGAATAGATGACGGTCATGTTGAAGTTTCCCACTCGCTAATAAACGCTTAAAAAACAACAATAACTTTCATCATTTGAATAGTTTGGAAATGCATTTGGAATAGGTTTAACTTAATGTTTAAGTTCCCTGTTTAAGAAATAGAAAACATACGAGTCTTCTCATTTCATGGGAATATCCTGAGTCTGCAGTCACGGCTTCAATTTTTGAATTGCATAATAATTAGATGCACTATCTAGTGTATATAAGATATATATGTCTATAACACGCCAGCATTGTATTATAACGGAAAGAACTGAGAATAATATGCCATTCGGGATCTTCCATTATCTTTTCATTGTTTTGGAAATCCCACTGTTCTCCTTGCCATCCAGACACCCGTTGTTTTGACGACCTATTTCCGACGTTTCACGATCGGAATTGGAATTTTCTCGTAAGCCTGGCTTAACTGAGCATGCGTAGATTGTACATATGTATAGGTGAGGGGAGCTGAATTATTTCAGGATATAGTCTGCAAAATGTTTGGCGAGTGTTGGTAAAAATTTAAGGTTTAGGAAAGGCTAAAGGCCCGAAAACGATGTTACGAGATTCGAGCATAATTAAAAACACTTTTAACTCGCAATTTGAGCCTTGCTTTGTTATATATTAGTCAAAGTCGAGCAAAAGAAAAAGTGCGCGAAAATTCTTGACTGAGCCCACGATGCCATGCAATGAACGCTCAGCGACATCACCATAGATATCTTATATACACTTAGCGCATCTCTTTTAGTAAAATTGAAGCCAACAATATTCCAGCGGTTACCCCCATTTGAATAGATGGCGGCCATGTTGGTCGTTCCCACTTGCTAATAAACGCTTAAAAACAACAATAATTTTCATCATTTGAATATTTTAAAAACGTATTTGGAATAGGGTTAACTTAATGTTTAAGTTCCCTGTTTAAGAAATAGAAAATATACGAATCTTCTAATTTCATGGGAACGACCTGAGACTGCAATCACGGCTTCAATTTTTGAATTTCAGAATAATTAGATGCACTATCTAGTGTATATAAGATATCTATGGACATCACAGATTAAGTATGAATAGATGTGTAACTTCAGTAAAAAAGTTCTCCCACGGGTTGCCATCTTCCAAGCAAGCGTCGCTCGCGTGATAGTTCGTCATTGGTAATAGTTAATGTGGCGCCACCATCTTCCTAGCTTAGCGAAATTTGAGGACACACAGTCCTAAGAAGTTCCACATCTGGTATATACTTAATCTGTGGCGACATGGCTATTCCATTCAATTTCCGGTTGTATCAAAGGGTTGTTTCTGCGTTTAGCCAACCTTCGTAACACTTGTGTCCATGACAATAGCTATCGTGCCAGACACAGCCACCCTCCTCGCATTCGCTTGCTGTTATTCCCGATGAGCCACATTTAACTTCTTCAGCTCCAGGTAGCTTGCACTGAACTGTAAGAAAATTGGACGTATTTGTAGTGAAAAATCCCTGACTTTCCTATACGAATTATTTAAAGATTTCAAATTACTTTTGCCTAAATGGTTCGAATTTCGTTCCCAACTTCGCAAATGCGTTATGGAGTTCAAAAATTCGTAATACAGAATAGGGGTTCATAATGAATTCACTAGCCAGTCCGCAGGCAAAGCCTTTGATTGGTCCTGGAGTAAATGTTTCGTGAATAGGCTCTGCACCATAGCTCTGCACTCAGTTACAGTTAACTAAAATATTTGAGAACAATGAGTTGTCCGAAGAGCTTGGAAAGCTATAGGATTTGTAAACCAAGGTCAAAGGCTCCACATATTGTTATTCAAAGTGTTTTTAGCCAGCTGCAAAGGGGCTATAATATTTTTGAACCCTTGAATCACCCAACGAAATTACCCAACAAAGGTCTAAACACTTGGCCAAAACTTATTTGAAATCGACTAAAAGAAAAATTACTAACTTTTTTTGTAACATTCGCTTGCAGTTTCATCCCAGCAGTTACCAAAAATCACGCATTCTTCATTGCCATAACCACTTAATACCCGGCGGTGTTCAGAAATCACATCGCATGTTGCTATATAGAAAACGAACCGTAAATATTTGTATAATCCATAATAATTCGTGAAACAAGCACAAAGAAAATCATGATCGTGAAGAAGGCTTGTACATCTGATACATTACTCGTGCCTTTATTACAACTACCGAAGAATACGAACGTTTTCATATCAAGACGCATCACAAATTATATGCACCTATATATTCTTCTGTAACACGCCAGCATTGTATTATAACGGAAAGAACTGAGAATGTTAAGGTGGAGTAATACGGGCAACAAAATTGCTGCAACTTGCAACAAAATCTGATTTCTACGCATGTTAATTGAAAATGTTTGTACATACATTTCTAAATCACGAGGCAACATGTGTCAACATTTCTACCATTTCTTATTCTATGATTTCTACTTAACATGCGTTGAAATCAGGTTTTGTTGCAAGTTGCAACAATTTTGTTGCTCGTATTACTCCAGCTTTAGCGCGGGTTTCGTCATGTTAGCAAATTGAACAAGACAACACCAACAAAAACAACATTAACAATACCAACAATAACAACAACAACAGCAGCAGTAACAACTTACAAAATCCAAAGCCAGCTTCAGTCTTTATAACGAGACCTATACAGCAAAATATTAAACACGAAGTTGGGCATCGCTATTATCTAGAGTTAGTTTATTAGTCTGTTAGTTTGTTGTGTGGTAGTTTGAAAAATAGTCTGGTAGCATTGAGAACGGCGTTGCTCTGGACATGGCCTATCGAAGCTTATCGAAGGGTGGATGGCTGTGAAATCATTAGAATAACAATATAACTCATCATCTATGTTAATCAACGTTTATTTATAAATCTGGTCCTTCGCCATCACGTGTGTATTGTATTTTTGCGCAACTAACCAATAGCAATGTTTTAGGAAAGTTACCTATCCGTGACTCGAACAAAAGGGAAATTGCTATTGGTGGATTTGGCAAAAATACAATACACACGTGACGGTGAAGGACCAGATTTATGAATAAACGTTGACTAACATAGATAATGAATTATATTGTTATTCTAATGATTTCACAGCCATCTACCCTTCGATAGGTACATTTCAAATATATTGGCCACAACAAGTTCCCACCCTGTAGTACTGTGTGGTTTATGTATTATATGATATAGTGTTTCACAATCATACTTTCTGACGGTATAATTTCGCCATCGAAAAATTTTTACTTTAAAACCTACCTAGCATGACCAATACACTAAAAACAGCAACAGGCTTGAACATTTTTCAATATGAAATCTAGATGGAACAAAATGGTCTGCTGTAGTTAGTGCAAGATTTAGGTTTCCTTCTACAGTAAGATTAGTAATCGTTTCGACCTATAAGGGATGACCTTATAAAGCCGTTGATAAATTAGGCCATGTTCGCCCTGCAGAAGAATGAGGGTTGTGTAGCGGGTATTCTTCAACTAGGGAGATGTTTAGTTCCGAACTCGTAGGTTTCCCAAGCCACAAACTTTGTTAAATACTAAGGCCAACATTTCTAACATTAAAGTGTAAGTACTTTTCAACAGTTTGCAAAGACGTTCGCGCAATGCTTTAAGCGGCATTCCACATTCCATGTACATATATATTGCAAGTACAGATAGAGAATTAAAATTATTTGAAACATTACCTGTGTTGGTGAAAATGAATTCTTCCAATCTCGTATCTGTGCGTCGATGTTCGGCCGATAGCTCCAACTGCCGATTCGACTTCGCGTCCTCCGGTTATATGCATACTTGGCCGTCATCGAACCATAAGAATGAAGACAATAACGGGTGGGGTGGGGGTGGGGGTGGGGGAAGGAAATGGAAATTAGTTATCGCTTATCCGTGCGAGAAGAAACAATGAATGATTCCAGCCATACACGAAATTTTGATTTGGACAAGAAGAACGAAACCATTACCATAGCTGGAAAGAGCATCTTAAAATGAGTAAAATTGCAAAGTTTGGTTGCGAATTGTTGTAAAATGAGGAAAATATGGCCCTGTGAAGTTCGCAAATTTTGTAGTATATTTGCATTACGCGCGGGAAAAATAACCATTTTTGAACCGAAAGTGGTTATTTTTACCGCGCGTAATACAAATATATGACAAAATTTGCGAACTTCACAGGGCTTATCTTCTTCATTTAGTCTGTAGCTGGTATCAAACATTACAAAGACTTGATGAAGGATATAATGGCCTTTTTAAGCCTTGACTCTTAACATAAAGCACGGTTCATTAACTGCATGTATGAGTGTAGTGCCGTATCCTGCACGCAATAAGCTGGCATGCTTTGTGTGTGAATTGTACCTGAAAAATATATCTTCTCAAACATAGGGGGGGGGGGTGTGTATGTAGGTAGTATCCTGCAATTGGCCAGCGAGACTTCCGATCACACGATCGGATAGCCTGCATTATTTTGCATGCGTGATTGCAAACCATAAACGTTTACAAAACTTTATATATTTTCTGCTTGAATACGGCAAGCCTTGCATGTCTGTGGTATGAGATTGCGCACGCAAGCTGGGATCCGTCAAAATTACCTTTGCCATAGAGATACCACATGGTATAACTGAATCTTACGTAAAACCTCTGTCCCCCAGGGTCCCAGATTACAGTCAATTACATACGATATCCGATGGTGGCATTGAGAAACATAGTTATAGCAATGAAGATCGTTGTGGTCTGAAAGCAGGATAAAATTTACTTTGTTGCCACCATCGCTACTTTGTTTACTGCAATTGGCCAGCGAGACTTCGATCACACGATCGCATAGCCTTCATTATTTTGCATGCATGATGCGTGACGCGCAAAATGCATGACTAATCTTGCAAGAAATGTTTGCGAAGCATGTCCGAGTACTCAATCGCACATTTGCATAATTTGACTGACTTTAATTAGCCTTTCTCACGATGACGAATATCCGCCATTTTTGGATGGCATCTAATTTTTGTTAACCAATGCAGACAATTAAAACAATGTGAAAAGCAATTTTTCAAAATAAACTTACCATTTACAAAGCAAATTTACCATCATTCGTCCAAAAAATTATAAAAAGTCGCTGTTATGTGGACTTATCTCGCAGACTTCGGCTGAAAAGCCACCCAAAAATGGCGGCGTGAGAAAGGCTAATTGACTTTGACTTAATTGACTGCGATTAGGCAGCCGTGACATATTGGTGAACTGGAATGTTGATCATCAATAATGAGCTCAACAGCAAGTTGTCAAGCTCTGAACAAACAGTGCAAACACACCCTCTGTTGACAAGTTGTACGTTGTTGGAACAGTACAAGTCTGCTGCAGGTTTGTTACAACTTGTGCGTTTTTACGAGTGCACTCTGCAGACTGATCAGAGAAAGGGGTTTATTAGAGAGAAGAGGGGATAAATTAATGAACGCGGGAGGTGGTACATGTATACATCCAGTGGTAATTGAGATCAGCGTGAATTGAAATATAGTTGAAAATCAGGTTGAAAAAAAAGTGGAAACACAAGGATGACAAATTTCAACAAAGATGGCGGGAAATATGAGTGGCGATGAAACGGGAGAAAATATTGACAATAAATTTGTAGATATTGTCTCGGGATTTCTCTTAGATCGTGATATCAGAGATGTATGTACGCTAAACGAAATGAGAAGCAACTTTCCTTTAAAGTACAGGTAAGGTATATCTTGTTTCTCAAAGCGAATTTAATTATTAAAAGCCTGCCGTGGTTTTCACTTTTCAGTTTTCAATTCAAAGACAAAGTTATTCAACCACAGAATAGTAACCTAATACAGAAGGCCGACTTCTTGGTTTTGTCTATGATTTTGACTATAAACCGTTCCAATACTGTTGCCATGTCAGCAGTGGCGCCACCAGCTCGATAATTGGGGGGGGCACCAGCTCGATAATTGGGGGGGAATATTCATATCTTTGTGTTCTGCATTATTAACTTCTTTTGAAATCAATTGTTTTTATGTTTTGTGAACACAAATATATGAATATCCCCCCCCCAATTATCGAGCTGTTGGTGCCACTGCATGTCAGCCAGTGCACTTAAAAGAGGCATTCACCCCCTGAAAACATTCAAAATGGTGGACGTTTCAGGAGGGTGAATACTTCTCGTAAGCACACTGAGGCACACTTACAAAAACTGCGACTATATAGGCCCTCTGGCAGGTATTGAACCTGCAGGAATCAGCCCTGCAAAGTGCAATCTAACTTCATTGCAATGTACACATTTTTGCTCATCTGCACTTGCATATTGTTGGACAGTGACATATTGCTACAGCAGCTATTGTGGCAGCCAAAAAACAAACTACTTGTAGAGAAGTGGGCTGTACGTACATGCATGCAATTGGCAAATTAAATTTTCCATATGAAACCTTGTCATAGACATTGAACAATGCTCATCTGCATTAACCCTTTAAGTTTAAGTGGCAATGTGCCCCATTTTTTTACTCTGTCTAACGCCAGACAATTTTACTTGTCAGGGGGAGAGTGCTGCCACTCAATGGGTTAAACTGCTTTATGATGTAATCAAGGGTGGGTTGACTACAAAATTTTTGTAGTTCGCTATAACTACAGCTACTTCAAAAATATGTACTCGGCTACAACTACTGCTACTTTTGAACAAAGGTAGTTCGCTACTGACTACAGCTACTGCTTTAAAATGTAGCGACTATTTCGCTACGCTATATTTTTTAGTTTTACTGTATTTGGAGCATCTACTAACTCAGGCTGAAATGTAACCTACAAATCGACTTACGAGTAGCAACAGTAATCAATACAGCAACAGTAATATCAAAACAATATTTTCCTTCTTGTTTACACTTGCACTTATTATTATTACAAAAAAAGTCTTTACAGAGGGTAAAACATTTCAGTGCACAAGACACTGTTATCAATATGTGCCCTCTCTACTTCTAAATTAAAATACATGCTAATAAAATAGATATAAAATAAGTTAGTTCAAAATCTATTATTCAGTCTACCTATTACAAAAGTCTTTCAAAAACTTAAAAATTAGGCTAAGTCAATTAAGACTACAGTTCACATGTACCTATTTATAATAGTCTTTCAATAGCTTAAGAAATTGGTCATAATCTCCTTCTCGTCTTATTTCGATTGGCAAATCATTACAGATTTTTGCACCCAAATAATAAAATTATTGTTTTGCAAACTCTAACTTTACTTTAGGTAGTTTTAGAAAAAAATTATTGTTCCTTGTATTGATACCACCAGTTTTAATTTTGAAATAGTTATCAAAGTTGGTACACATTCGATTGTCTAGACATTTCCTTACAATACTACACGACTGTATATGTAATATCTTGATAATAGAAGGCACTTGATCATGTTCGTCAGGAGCAATGATGTTACCTTGTTTTGTAGTGAGGACACAGTGACAACAATGCAATCATAAAAACATCAAAGTACGTGTTTTGCTTGGTTATCTTATGTTTATGATAATTTTGTAGAACTCATGATGACATTGCAGTTCTTTATGAATCATTTGTCATGAAAAGGAAGTTAATAAAAGACACAGTTAGAAGAAATATTGAAGGCTTCTATACCAAAGATAAAGCAAAAAACAGTAATGTAAGTTACTGCTATAAAGTAATAAAGCACAGGAAAAGAATGTTTTACAAAATTGTAATAGCAGGCTCAAAATTTACATACAACTTATGGAACAAGGTGAAGACAAGTAAAATCAAAAAGGGCACTTTGCCCCCCTCACCCTCCTTAGGAAATGGCACGGGGAGGGGGGCAATGCCTCCTGCACCCACCTCTCCGGCATATGTACATTTATTATTGTAGAACTTTTTCGCCAACCAAAATGGTAAATATGATATATTTCACCATGCAAAATGATAAAAACGTGTTAAAATTGTTTCAAATAAAATTTTAATGTACTTTTATATCTTGTAGAAACAACGACAAAGTATTGAAGAAAAACTTGCAGTTCTTGATGTAAAACAGAGGCAACATAGAAAGGTTACTATCATTACAAGAAGCCTAGTTTACTAGAAAGCTACTCAAATTTGTATGAAAAAATCGATCGATTAATTGTATTGAATAAATTATCTGGGGTTAGAGGTTAGGGGTGGGGTGGGGGTAGGGATCAATCTGATGCACTATATAATAAGGGTCCCATTTTCGACATTTCATATAGAAGTTTAGTTACCATAAGAAACCGATTTGATTCTTAAAAATGTTGAATTGACTTAATTTAGGAACTGTTAAGAGCAAAGAAAGAACTTTCTCTTCTTCAAAAAAATATTGCCAGGTACAGTGCACTTGATTTACGTTTAAACTGAACGTACTGTTGATCAGATAGACAAATTTTGCTAACGTTTGATTATACCCAAATCTCAAACTCATTAATAATTCCTGAGTAAATTGGCCAACCATATTTGTTTATTTTGCTCACATGATAGTACTGGGACTGGATACAAATGAATTTACCTCACTTTAAGTCATATGCTTGTCAGATGTTGGGTTGGGATCCTAGGTAGCGGCGCTACCTGCAAGTGCCTGAAGCTAACTGCAATCGTAGAAAATTTCAAGAACTCCCTTTTCAAATGCCAGAACTCCATTTTCAACATTTTCAAATGCCAGAACCCAGTTTTCAAATGCCAAAACCCAGTTTTCAAATGCCAGAACTCAGTTTTCAAATGCCAAAACCTGTTACCTGGTTTTCAAATGCCAAAATCCAGTTTTCAAATGCCAAAACCCAGCCTTCAAATGCCAAAACCCAGCCTTCAAATGCCAAAAATCCATTTTCAAATGCCAAAACTCCATTTTCAAATTAAATACCAAAACTCCATTTTCAAATACCAGAACTTCGTTTTCAAATGCCAAAAACTCCGTTTTCAAATGCCAAAACTCCGTTTTCAAATGCCAAAACTCCATTTTCAAAAGCCAGAACTTGGTTTTCAAATGCCAGAACTTGGTTTTCAAATGCCAGAACTTGGTTTTCAAATGCCAGAACTTGGGTTTCAATTACCAAAACTCCATTTTCAAATACCACGACTCCGTTTTCAAATACCAGAACTTCGTTTTCAAATGCCAAAACTCCGTTTTCAAATGCCAAAACTCCATTTTCAAAATCCAGAACTCCGTTTTCGGATGCCAGAACTACGTCGGTTTACATCACAGAAAATCAGTTATTTTTCATCGGTTGTAGGTGCGACAAAGCTGTCCAAGATTGTCAATTACTGGCAAACGATGTTAAAGAATATTTTAATATGGATCTCTTTGAGGTATAAAGCCACGTTTGCTTTGAAGCGAACGCGTGTCACAACGTAAGACCGTATATGACTAGCAAAAAGTAGAAAAACAACAGCAACGCCCAATTGAAGATGAACAACAGCGACGAACAAGAGATTTTTTATTATGAATGTTTTTGTTATCTAATGGAGTTTTTTCCTCCTCTTAAATTAATTTATTGAATTACCTTTTTCCATACTAAACTATTAAAGTTCAGGTTCTGATCTCCATATGGTCGTAACGGTCGTAAAGATTGAGTCACGATCTTTCTCATCAGCCCAAATACAACATTTGAAAATACGCAGAGTGATTATAACAAGAGAATACTTATGATTTATGTGTGGTTATGTTTACAGGTATAATAGACTTTATAAGAGTGTATCTAAAAGTCGAGGGTCGAGAGTCGAGAGTAAAGGTCGAGAGTCGAGAGTAAAAGTCGAGAGTCGAGAGTAAATGTCGAGAGTCGAGAGTAAAAGTCGAGAGTCGA